TTCATTGAAATAATACAGACATTTCCCACATTGTTCACGCAAACAGTCCTGCTGGTGGAGTTAAATGGAATATTCCTTTCAAGCTTGTCATTTTACAGTTGGCTTCTCTACTTGCTCTGGTAGGACTGATTTGTATTTGCCTTTCTACTTACCATAGAGATGCTGATGTATGTTTGACATTAGATTTCACGTACAGTCTAAGTCAGCCTGCCCTCATCACATGTGTGTTGAAATCAGGAACGCTGCTCCTCTAAATAAGATCTGCAAAGTCATTATCTGTGTGACAGTGCAGAAGATGCAGGTCATGGCATCTAATGAGATTTACTGTCATTGGCTTCCAACCTATGTCTTAACAGTAATGTAGCTGAAAGAGCAAGATATCTTGCATTATCAGCAGCACAGAGGTTAATGGACTTTTGTTCCATTGCCCATCAACACAAGGTCTGGGATGTGATATAAGAAATCTAAAACATTGTCTGCTTGAAAGGTGCCACCTCTGATACAATTATTGGAGCTGAACCAGCTTCACTGATAGACTCTGTGGGATTTAACTGAAGGAACAACCTCACTGCTGGCACATTTGGGAGAAGTGTGGAAGGAAGCTTCTGTTTCTGATGTGTTCCATTTAACCAAGTATATAAAAATTTTGCCTATTTGAAGTTCTACAAGACTTTAGCTTATTTTCTTGAGATCTATTTTAGTATGCCCACACTTGCATAAAAACTCTGTCAAATGGAAACGAAGTAGATAATTGAGACTTTTGTGGATAATTTGACATGGTTTAAAATGCCGGTTTCAATGGCTTTCTCTTGGGTTTATGTTTAAAATACATAAGTGATTGTTCAATTTGAATAAGAAATTGAGAGGTCATTTGGATATTTTTTTTTTTAAAATCTATGGAAATCTCAAAGTTTTGGTTTTTTTTTAATTCCAGGGGTGGTTTTAATTGCCTCTTTTCAGGCTTTGATAAAGGAGCTCTTATAAATCATGACATTTGTTAATAAAACAAATTTAATGTGACAGAAGAATGTTAATCAAAACACGGTATTATGAAAAGCTCAGCTACCTTTTTAGCTATTTAAGGACCTTAAGAAGAGACCAAATCCTGCTACCCTGATGAATAAGGCTGCTAGTGCAGTGAGTTGTGTTTTGCATAACAACATACTGGGCTACATTAGGAAGATCACAGCCCACAGGCTGAAGGAAGTGATTGCTTCCCTCTGGTCAGAACCTCTGACACTGTATTTGGATGGGTGCTTCCAGTTTCGATTCCCCAGTACAAGATATTGTCAAACTGGAGAACTGCACTGGAGGACAAGAAGATTAGGGGGGTGGAACACGATGTGTGAGGAGAAGCTGAGGGAGCGGTTTGTACAGCCTGAGGAAAACACAGCTCAGGGCAGTGCTGATTGCATTCAACTTCCTAATGAGGAACGTCAACTTCCCAATGAGGAAAAGATAGCCAAACCCTCCCAGAAGTGCACAGTGAAAGGCACAAGTACAATTTTCAGGTAGGGAAACTCATATTAGCTATACAGGAAGAAGTCCACTTTCCACAGTGAGAGGGGTCAAACACTGAAATACATTGCCCAGAAAGGTTGTGTCATTTTCATGTTTGGAGGTAGTCAGAATTTAGCTGTACGGGCCCTGAGCAACCTGACATACGTTTGAAGTTCTTTTTGCTTCAAGCTAGATGACCTTCAGATGTCCATTCCAGCTTGTTCAAAAATTCTGTAAAAATAGCTGCATTAGCTCAAAAAAACATCCAATTTGCCTTCCATGTGGTCAATACTGGATGCCTAGAGAAAATGTGTATCACAGTTATCGTTGCTATCCTGGCCAGCTAATTGTTGAAATAGTAGCCACAATATTATAGCCTTTCTAGTTAAGGACAAAATTTTACTCCATCACAATTCTGTGATACATGTTGACACAGGTCTTAGCTTTATTTCCTTTTTGTTAACATGCAGAGCAAATCTTTTGAATGCATGATGTATTCTGTCAATCCTGTGCACTTTGTACAATATTCATTAAGAGAATAGTTAACTTAAATGATGCATAAATATTACTTAGATAAACATAAATATATACCAAGGAGAAAAATCTAATCCCAGGATTTTGACATTAGCAAATGCAGAAATCGGTTGAAAAATTTAAAATTATTTAGATCGTACATTCCATTTAAGAAAAAATAAGTAATGCAGAAATGCTATATCAATTACACTCTGACAGTGTCTGTCCAATCCTCTGTAAACGAATAATATTTGAAAAATTTAAAATCAAATTGTTCACACCATACAGCTTTAATGTCTCTATGCAATTCAGTTTTCAGTCATTATAGTTAGTATGTATACAAAAGGAATTTAAACAATGGTAGATAACAGGTATTTATGTCTGAAATATGTTTATAAGTAGTATTTTTTTAATAAGCAGCTTGTGGCTAATTAGTTTTGTGATACAAGATGTTGTACTGTCTCAAATTGCTGTACATCAGTGAATGGGATAAAGAATGCAGAGCTGAGTAATAGAATAAAACTTATTTTCTTGTTTCAACACAATCAACTGAATGACGGGATAAAAGGAAGCCAGAGTCAGATGTGCAATGGTTATTTCTAATGTGCGAAAACAATGTACGTCACAGTTTCCGTTGTGCGCACCCGTCTGAGCTGGCTGAAGCTGCAGTAGCTTGTGAAGGCAGCATTGAAAACTAGAAGTTTACTTTGCTTATGAGTTTCCACTTATTACGAGCTCTGACACGAGCATTGCTCGTACCTGCAAACAGTGGAAAAGCAATGGTATTTTGTGTGGAGAAGGGGCTGGGACAGCGCTGAAGCCAGAGCGCTGTAGTTATAATGTGATAAGCAAGTAATTTCACTTTCTGAACCAGGATTAAATTATGTGGAAGTCAAACTATTATACTGTAGGAAACTTTCACGTTGATTAGGTTAACTGTCCACATAACATTACTAACCTACTTTGGACAAATTAAAAATCTATTAGAGCCTCTGATGAATACACCCACAGGTATTATAGCTGCCATGAAGCAAATTAATTACATGTGAAAAGTAAAAGTTTTATATATTCATATTTTTCCCTGTGTTGGATAAAATGAAACAGGATGTATGGGAATGGCAGTCTATCCTGCAGGGCTGTATGTAAAAATATATCTATGTAATGACAAAATTGCAAATATCCATACCCTAGGCATTGAATGGAAGGATTTCATTGTTATGTCCAGTTGATGATGCGTTAAGTTTATATTTTTCAGGGACACAGAAGTTGATAGATCTGGGCATGAACTTTAGGTACCAAAATGAAGTCAGGTGGGATGAATCGAGGATAATGTGTTCAACTACAGTAATTTACGCAACATAGTGAAAAGATAATTGCAGTTTGTGTGGGCATGTGTTTTCACAAGTTAAAATGTATACACATATATATACCACTAATCAAACAAATGCATTTTTATCAGACCCAGCGTTGCATCATGAACAAAAGGTAATGTCAATATTAAATCAATTTTTAAATATTTCCTCAGAGCAACATTGTCAAAATTCAAGTCTGGTGCTAACAGAGCACTTGGACTGGAGGTAAAGAAATTAAGACCATTGAAATACATTTGAGCTTTTGAACAGCAATTAATTTTGTATTAGCAGAATTAATACAAAATCCTGTAATTGAGCAGCCATTAGCATAAAGAAGGCATATAGTGACCTGAGCTAGCAAGAGCCTCATATTAAAGCGACAGAGCAAATGAGCTATTCAAGTACTTTTTCTCTGCAGACCTAATCAGGGCCAAATATGTCCCTGGAAAGAATAGATTACTTACATCGTATTGCCACCACCTGAAAGTTGCATCTTATTCTTTCTCTGGCAATGAGAACTTTAAGAATTCTTTCATTTTTACAAAAATTGCAGCAGAATATTTTCTGAATTGGATTAGTGCTTCAATAAGAGGTCAAAATACTTTGGATCAAATTCTCTGCTAGTGTAAAGACTCAAAATGAAAGCCACATAGCTCTGTGTGTATCCTCATGAATATGATCTTTGGTTTTATGTATTCCTGGTGAACTGCTAGTGTATTCGTGTGGCTCTCATTGCACCACTGTAGTAGAAACAACTGTTTTACCATTCGGAGCTTCTGCGTAGTAGTTCCTACTCTTTAGCTGGGTGACCTGCTTTGGTCTGCTGCTGTGCCTAAGAGCTGCTCCTACTAATCTCAGTCCCACACCTGCAGTAAGGACAGCCTTGGTTTTCTGGTTTTGTTTTTTGTTTCTTTTTGAAGGGTAGACAAATGGCTCTCCTTTTAAATATGATGTGAAACATACAGTGTCTGTCAGTAAAATGTAAGCTTTTGCTAGTAGCTAGTAGTGAAGATGGCAACTGAAAGATGAAGGCTTTTACATAGAATAAGTAGTAGCTGGAATCTATAAAAAAGGTGTGGAAAAATAGTTACTTGATAACAGCAAAAAATATCTAAAAAGAACTGTTTTCAAAGGTGATATGAAGCTTAAAACCAAAACTAAAAGTTTTGATTAAAAGTACGCATTTTTCTACCCTTTTATATTCTTTACTGTTTTATCCATACTTCAAGGTGAAAGTCTGCAAACAGTGAATTGGATTCAACTAGTAAAAACCAACACAGCTTCACAGACAACTTCACTATTTTCCAGTGTGATAAGGAAATTAAGGAAAACCTGTAGCTGCTAAACGTCTGAGCCAACTGTTTCAGGTTTTTCATACGCCATTTGGTTCATCTGAACTTGAGGAGTTATTTGCAAGATAGATGTACAACATTCAGCTAATTACTTAGTCCCATGACCTTAGACTAAGGGAAGTTTTTATCTGAAGATTGGATGGTTCATATAACTGTACAAAACACAAAATACAGTAAGTGGATACTAGGGGGATTATTTTGTGGAAATATTTGCCTTTCTGCTGTGCAGCTGTAAGCATAATTTCTAGCAGCAGCTGAACTCATGTAATGTGATTGATTGCAGGTTCCCTCAAGAGCTGAACATGGGAAAAATCAGTGCTGAAATCATGTGGACTCTGTTTGCCCAGGACATGAAATATGCTCTGGAAGGTAATTAGAACAAACTATTAATTACACTAGAGAGTTCACCAAGACTGATTACCACTGCAAATCACACCTGGCATCAGATTGTGTGGGTGGTAAAAGTTTTCTGACATACTTGTTTAAGATGTTATAGATTAGTGAAAAAGAAGAGTTGTAAAGGAAGAAAAATCATTGCACTGTGACTATATGAGGTTATCTGCGGAAGAAGGAGACAAAAGAAATGTAAGTTGAAATGCTCCTTCTTATTACCTAAGTCTGACAAAATCATCAATGTCCAAAGAACCAGAGATGCTTACCAGAGAGCATTGTAGGCATTCCATATTTTCTTACTAGCTGAAAATTGCGAATTTGCCCATAAGAAACATTTACAGGATGAAGTTACGGAGAAAACACATACAGATAATTAAACCACCTTTTTGTGTTCAAAAAACCCGAGTTGTATTCATTCAAATTCCAAAAGAATCAAATGCAGTTTCCTTTTATTCTTTAAGATAGTACTGTAGTTAACCATAGGTAAAATACGCTTATTTTTCTATATAGCAGATAATAGCCAACTAATGGTTTCAAACCCACTCATTAAAATATGGCTATTGAAGAAAACCAAGTACAAATACCTCCATGAATCTTTTTTTAAAAATACTGAACAGAAGGAATTAAGAAAATAATCTTAATTAATGATAGAAATATCATCAGCCCATATGCATTTATTCACACAAACTTTTAGATCATTATCACAATCATGACTCTTGAAAATAAGTTCATCAAACTCTAATATTTATTTTTGCTAAATAAAAAATTATGACATTAACTGAACTTGACTAATTTTCTTTACCTATTAAACAGATTTCAGTTTTAAATGTGAGAAATGCTAGAGGATTTTAGTTTCCATTAGACATCAAGAGTATAGCTCAGACGAATTGGAAACTAAATGGATCAAATCTGAATTTGATCAGAAAACTAGTTCTTTGCATTGTAAGTTATGTAATAAAATGCATTCTGTTGGTCTTGTACATATACAATCTTTACAGAGTTTCTGTCCAAAAATAAAAAAAGTGGTTTGTGTTTTTTTTAAAAAAAAAAGCATATCAGAAACCAATTGTAAAGCAGTCAGTGCAGTTTATAATCTCATGGTCAACCCCAACATGGTGTGAAAGGAATTATAATATAGACCACTGTTTTTTAAAAACAAAATAATTTTTTTCTCATTCTTTTATAAAAAATTGTTATTCAGAGACAGAAAGGATTTATAGTGCTAGCCAATTTTTATTTTTTTTTACTTCCACAGTAGCAGAAATAGCTAATTATGATTTTTAGGTAAGCCAAAGTCACATTGTATTCAGTGAAGCCTACTACTAACTACAGAGCAAGTCTACCAGTGGTGAAAATAAGTAAAAGATTGGACTAATCAACAATGCAACTCAACAGGCATAAAGGATAAAAAAATTGCAATATTTTAACATTAATTTCTGTATTATTTGCTCCAGAAGATCTACTGTGATAATATCAGTGTGGTGGTACTTTGATGATACTGTAGATATTTATGATGATAAAGAGACAAAAGATGAGTGACTAGAATAGTTCTTAATGGAAGAATTATTTTGTTCATCTGCTGTCACGATACTTTATTTTGTTAATTATATTATGTGAATGGGGAATTTGCATACTAAGCACAGTGAAAGAAAAAGATGGGAATAAAGGAAGGAATGAATTACAGAAGCAGTGATCATAATATGTAGAATGACAACAGAAGATATAAGAAATCAAATCTAAGATGTTGGTAGAAGAGATGTTCAAACTACTATTTGAAGGTGCTGTTCCATATGTCACAGTGGATCAAAACTACAAGTTTGAGAAAGCTAATGTCAGGCAGGAGATCACCCTTTGAGAGTGATCAATGAAGTCAAAAGCTCCAAAGAGCTGAGAAGCATGAAGACCAAATGAAAGCCACTATTTTGGGTTAGAACATATTCCTGGTTACATCAGTGAGAACAATCTTATATCTGGAGAGGCTGTAAATCAGGAACAGGTATTAGAAGATGGCTGTTCAGCAACTCAGTGCTGTGATTGCACTTACAGATAGCTAGCACAGATTAATAAGAATTTCTAATAGCCATTTTATTGTCATGCTTTCATAATTTTGAATGTATAGTTATACTCTGCACACGGGCATCCCTGTGTTTTGGCCATTGAACTATAAACATTCTGTACTTCAACAAGATAATTCATGAAAGATAATTCACTCTATTTGCTAAGTAGAGCATACCGATCACTTAAAAGGCAGCTTCAGATCAAGCTGTGGTTTGTTTGTTGGTTGTAAAGAATAGAACAGGAAGCTCTTGAGGAAGAGTTAATTATACAATATATGAAGTGTGGAAGGTTGGGCTGGATCAGGACTTTAAAACAAATATTAAAGTTAATATCCTAATTCTGCAGAGAGAGATATAGAGGACTCATTAGGGGGCACTTGACTTTCTACATTTATTCCAAACCGATCCCTGTGTATGGTCTCATCTCTGTGTTGCTGTGGATACTGTCTTTCTGAGGAGAGTAAATGCCGTTTTTGTCATTAGAAATTCTAAGTCAGTCTCAGAATCAGTAGTGAAGCAGTTCCTATATACAAATAATAATTAAAGGAAATTTAAATTAATTATAAATTA